AACCTTCAAAATAATGATTTAACATCTAATAGTTCACGCTGCTAATCGTAGTCAATCCATGGTATTGGGAAGCCATTATCTAGTAGTGCTAGTTGTCTTGATCATGAACCTTCGCAGCCACCACAATTAAGAGTATGCGTAGACTGATTGGCAATTATTACAACACCAGTAATAAATCAAAGACAATTAGTTGGTTACAGAGCATTGTTTTCGTACTTATACCTCTCGTACTAAAAAGGTATATCTGAAACTATTTTTACTCGTTTTAAATTATTACATATATATGAGCATTACAGACTTATCAACGAAACTTTTGTGAAAAGACAGACGACATTGCAGAAATTCATAAATTTCAATTGGCTATAGTGTTTCTTCTTTTTTGTTTATATGCAAATAGAAATGTAGTCAATGCTCCTGTTAGGAAACTGGCACTAGGTAAAGATGGCAAATCGATTGATGAAGTAGTGAATCTACATCAGTCCAGGTGGTTTGGACATGTGTTATGTATATCTAACCACTGACTAACTCAACGAGCGATGTTTTCTGATGTGGGGTAAGCTGGAAGACAGCTAGGAGTGGCCAAAAGAAACATGGCACCAATCTACAAGGTCACTGACTACTGGACCTTACCTTGTAGTTGGATGTAGACTACCTTGGTATGATATTACTGCAACACGAGATCCTTAAATAAGCTGAAGTTCCAAATAAGACTATTACTATAATACTTACATTTTCCAAGATGCTCAGCATACGACTAATATACTGCTTTTTATCCTATAGGAAGTGGTGAAATTGTTTTCTGCCTGAATAGTGAGTACTTAAATTATCAACTGACTCTATTGTATGAAGATGTCCAGACGAATATGCAAACAACTTTTACATCGAGTTTAACCTGAACAGTATTTTTGAAGTATTTCGACTTAACCTTGCTATTTGGAATATAATCTTTTCCTGTTCCACCGTGTTTTGATTCTTCGGAACTTGTCCGGTGTATAGTGGTCAAAGAATACTAAGCAATATGAATTAGCTGAGAATTATTTAAGCGAGCGTTATAACAATGGGGCAGAACATTTTGTTTGCTTACGGCTCCTTACAATAGAGCAGCATGTAAAAAGTCAATGATATTGATGTTACTTTTTCTTGCCAACCTCGTCTACGACTCATGTTTATGATCTTGAACTGGTTTCACTTCCTGTTAAATGAAGATCTGAGCAATTATGTTAACAAAAATGCTCACAAGTGACTTCTTTAGCTACAGAGTTAATACATAAACGAAATGTAGCCGAAGCATCAGATCACTGTGCCTCTATTATAATTTCCTGTAAATCAGCACTATTTGCAACAGTGTAATCCTTTTTAATCGCCTATATTCATGAGATTGTTAGGTCATTCGTTATCTTATTAGTTATTTGTCTTCATTAACTTACATAAGTGCAAGTGTTCTAAAACAGAAGAAGAAAGGTCTGAGTAATCATAGCTTTGTTTGTCTCAGCTTTGCATAAGAATATTTTCTGTTCCGCTCCTCACCCTCTTCTCTTCATTTCTGTCTATCAGCTTCTCAATCTGCTCCTTGAATAATAGCCCTGAAAATGCTGAAGACTTGTTTACTTTACACAGCAGTCTGTAAATTTATTGTCTGACGAATCTCGAGAAGATCTTTGCATATTTACCTAATCAGTTCTTGATATACAGAGTTCTGGATTTGCTTTGTATTGGTTTTCAACCATTAGTGGTTTTTCGTAACGTAATCCTCGCTACTACTGGGCCAAATCCCGGATGAAGGAGAACGGTTGGACTTGGGGTTGGCGACCTCATCCCGGAAATAACTAAGTCGCTAGAAAAGAGCTAAGAAGGAAGAATAATACAAACCATTTTAGCTCTGTCACGGGAGTTAGAAGGTCTTCGTTTAGAAGAAATATGACGTCTCATGTTGAAAGCCGATTTCCTTCGGAAATCACGAGGCCAGTGCCTCTACTGGCATTTAAAGTGTGACAATATAAAATATAACCCCTGAATAAGTTAAGAAGGTGAATACCAGCTTCGGACATAATTTATAATCTTACTTGACACATTAGTCCAGTTCGTGACTACTTAACCGAGGCCATTGGATCATATTGTTAGTTGAATCTATTTTCGTTGTAATGTCGGTTCAGTTCATGTAAATAAGCATCCCTTTTATGTTTGACCTTATTGCTTTAATGGACGATGATGCTTACTGCTCAATAAACGTTCAGACATCGCCTATAGGTGGCGTATATTTGAATAGCTTTCCACCTGGTTTCGGTAGTATTTATATTCACTTCATACCTTATTGTTCCTAATTTGTAGTACGAGTCCTAGATATGGAATTCGGAGTTATTAAGTTGACGGAGGACAAGAAAATTAGACACGAGTATCTAAGGTGCTGAGGGCGTGCTGCCCAGTAGTGTGTTGGTGAGGTACGATTTTCCCATGCCTTATCTGCTAATCAGTTGTTTACCCACCTGCATCTTGTGCCATCATAAGGTAGATATAATAAAGAGCATATCACAAGAAAAGAATCTACACACGTCACACCTGTGTTTATGAAATAATCAGTATCATACAATCGTTGCTCATAGATAATGTAATCTGGAAGGAAACAAACACTGAACGGATAAGTTGGGAACCAATGTGCATTATGACTGCATATCAGTATCATTCCGTAACAAGTTGGAAATATCACTGATCTCGGTTAAATGCATGACTCTGAGCCCTCGCGGACCTCTTTCCCTAATCTGGTTCGTTACCCCGATTACAAAGTATCCTCTGACCAGGAATGTTATTCAGAGACATGAAAAATTTTGAAACTGAAGTCCTGCAGTTAACTGGTGAAATTATCATAGTCTTATAGACTAAGTGAATAATACGTTTGATATCATCATGTATTTTGTAGTAAGGAGTCTTGAGTTCCTCAGAAAGACAGTTGTTTTCCATGTTCTAAGTGTTTATCTCAGGTAAGTTTTAACATCAGTGCTAGTGGAAGACATGCTCTGTAGTTGTAGCAGGCCTTCACTCGGATGTGGTTCAGCAACTTTCCATTACTAAAAGAGAATTTGTTTTATCTTCAAATAAGTACATTAAGGGATATGTCCGCAGAAACTTTGGCCTTAACGTTAATAGTAAAAAAATGAAATCATAAATCCAATTAATTGTGTATACCCTCTTCGTATAGTGTTGATGTTGATATAACTTTGTAGCCGAAACGACTGTAGTATATCATTATTTGCAAGTACGCTTTTGCTTCACTAGTGATGACCAAATATACTGTCTCCGGATTTTGACTGGTTGTCTAATTTTGATGGCTGAATGATTTGGATAAAATTCAACATTTTGCCCAAGTTATAAAACGTTACTGTTTCTTCCCATCATTGTTTGAGAGTTTTGATAAATCAAACTCAGTATACTAATATCCGTGCAACGATACAGATTCGGCTGTTTAAGTTTTATGAGATATCACTTCTGCTTCACGCAAAATGTTTGCTTACCCCATTTCGCTTCCAACTAACATAGTACATGTGAAATGTCGACTTCATTGCATCAATATTGGAGAAAGGTCATTAAACATAAGCTGTATAATCCAAAACATTCCTAGAAGAACCGGTTAATAAAACTTTCAAACATGACAAATTTTCGTCTGATCATTGATCACTCACTATAATGCACTTCTAGCACATAAATGATAAGAACTCTGAGTTTCTGTCAGAACTATTTAAAAACAAAATACTATCCAATATCCAATTTCTTCTTCACGAGCTAGTATAAACCGACTGATTTATTTGAGCTCGATTCCTGTTCTTTCGGTACTTTTCCAGGTGTTTGGTAGTGTCCAATGAATGGAGGTCTAGCCACCCAACTGTCTAATTCTAGTCAGTTGGCATTCGGTTGTGAGTTTGTATGCCTCATGATTTGTATGAAAACGCTTGTTTCAGGGCATTAGGGTTTCTGAATACCAACAGCTGTAAAATTACCAGACTGGAGATAAGTTAGTTGCAGTATGGGGACTAATAAGGATAAAATTCTAATGCTGATTTCGGAACTAAGTAAATCAATAGATAATTTAGGTTATTTGTTGGTAGTGAAGACTGTGAGAGAAGACCGAAGTGTTAGCAAGAAAGAGGAAACAGAGATAATAGGCGAGGTAGATTAAGTAAGTGATCTGAGGAGATGGCGATGATAACAACTAGCAGGTTTCAAGACATGCATCATTCACAGCTCGTCCAAGAGGGAGATGATAATGCATATGCGACTACGTGATTACTAAGTTTCTTCTTAAAGCTGTCAACTGAGGGGGCTGTGGTCATCTCCGCTGGGAGAGCATTCGAAGTCGCATCGACTCTCAATGAGGAAGAGTGTGCACGAACCTGAGTATTCACCCTTAGATGTGCAATTTTTTGAGGATTACCTTGAGGTGTGTGGTGGTGATGCATCGATAAGATGCTTATGTTGGGATGGTCTGGCGTGCTTAATATGTTGTACGCCATAATCAGATCACCTCTGATTCTCCTGTAACTCAGTATCGATAATATCAAGTGCTGGAGTCCATCTTAGTAAGGTTTATTTTTCAACCCTATCACCTATTTCGTTGCTTGTCTCTGCACCCGATCCAACAGAGATTTACGTCACTTTTAGGCAGAGGGGGTGCGATGACGTTGTGAATCTCAAGGTGTGGGCGCACGTATGTCTTAAATAATGTTAAGAATAACTTCGGGGTGGGAGCACCCAGTTGTCTTCACATAAAGTGAAGAGTCGCATTTGTCTTGGCTGCGTCCCCTACATAGTTCGGGCACGTGTGGAGGGTTTCTGTGCTTAATAAACCGAGATCCTGTCTTCTTAGAAATGTCGTTCACACGGGCTGTCGGATGTTATCAAGCTTCTGATTATATACTGAAATGAGTGAATAGGAAATTGCAATGCACTTTATTTGGTGTAACGAATTCAGGAAATCAAGTAATGTCGCGCGGGATTCAATAATTTCGGGGATGGGTAATTATGTAAATTTTCGGACTAGTCCAACAGCTAAGGAGTCGGATAAGCATCTGACTCCCATACAAATACCTTCTAAACATTCTAAAGTACAAAATATTGACCCACGTTCGCCCAGTGATGGGATAGTGCGGACCCCGATCCAAATAGACAGAAATGACATATCCTCACCGTTTGATGTTACTCGCACACCGACCGAATCGTCCAGTAAATTACTCCTTTATATTAGTAAATGCTATTCCTTTGTTAGGTAGGTATAATCCTGGGACCCCCTACTTTAACAGCTATGAAATTCCGGACGGTGTTTTGACTGAAGACGATTCTATTCATCGAGGTGACAAGTCATCCTCGTTGTCGGATACCGAAGTTACTAACAATACAAAGACTACAAGTACGTATACTTGTGTTGAATATTTCAGATAGTAGTAGTATGTACACTACAGTCATTATTTGCTACTTGTTTCAAGAATATATATATATATATATATATATATATATATATATATAAACTGTCCGAATCTCTTTAGTTTACGCGAATTCCAGGTAGATTTTGGTTTTCCAGATTCGGGATAAATTTTAAGCTTCCATCGAAATCTCAAGCTTTTGTGGACTTTCCCAAAATTTTCAAATTAATTTGTGAAAAAACTCCAGACTAAGGGATACGTTTGGATGTTTTTACTTGCGTCTCTCTTAAACCGACCGTGAGAATTTCCCCAAAATTGTTTTCACTGTTTCCCAAAGTTGGGAAACCGTGTGCTTGTGTATAAGCTCATCTCATAAAGTCGTAATTGTAGACCTTCACTGTGTGATGGGCTTATGAGGTCGCGTCATACTACTCAGAATCATCTCACGTTTTGTATAAGAGTTGTCTTAGAATCTTCATTGTGGACTCTTAATGCTTGCCTTTTGCAGTTGTTTCCGGTAGCCACTTTACCTATCCACTGTAGGAAACTCGTCATTTCCTCTTTTCTGGTTGTATATTTTCATTCTACATATGTAAAAGCTTATGTAATTTATATTGAGTTCTGGACAAACTTTAATTATTCAGACAACATGTAACTATGGAGCCATTTTTACCTTCCTGATAGCTATTTTTATGAAGGACTTTAATCTTCAGTATGTTTGTCTTCGTAATCCTACACTCGTCTTGTGTGTTTGTAAACTTATTGTCTTATTCAATGTTCCCTGGTCACTCTGTGTATTATCCTTTTCGTGTTATATTGAATTCTAATGAATAATACCTTGTGTAGGTACATCTGCCTTGTCTGTTTTTGATCTCTTCTGTCTGCTGTAATGAATATGTGAAATCTAAACACCCGGAATATTCATATTCAACTTTTACGTCTAAGTTGTTATTATCTAGATTCGCCGACGAAACATACCTAAATTCAGTTAGGGTATGTGCTTTGCCAGTATCATTATCATTCGGTCTCTAGGCGTGAAACATGAGTTGGTTATGATAGAGTCATCATTTGCGTTCGTGACTTTACCGTTCAGTTGTTTTATTTGCTTGATGTATTATCAGTTTCAACTTCCACTCATACGATTGTTTGTTTAGGTAACACTGTAGGTTAATGTAGATGGTTGGTTAAAAAGTCCTGTACGTAAAAATTTATGAGACCAAGAAAAAAATGTGAAGTGACTACTCACCACGCACGCAACGTGAACTTTAATGATTTAAACAGCTTATAGTAATTTTCGATGGTCGTTTGCCAGATCAGGAAGCTGTACTTAACAGATCATGATTTATTTGATTGGATTTATTTAACATAGCTTACACTGCAACCGATTGGTAACAGTTTACCAACTCCTTGTCTTATTTTCCAAACTTTCCTACTTGTATCTGATGTTAAATATAACTGAAATTCGCATACCAACTTCAGGTTTGGGTGCTAAGCTTTGTGATACATATAGCTCGGTATTACCCTGGTCTCTGAGATGACGTTCTGGCAACCTAGTTTTGATATTAGCTTTTTTCATGTATCCTACATTACAAATTATTCATTATAGGCATATAACAACATTGACGTTAGTTAGTCTATCAAATTTAGTTTGCGATTATCAGTCATGATCAAATCATGGGACCAAGTCATAACACCGAATTACGGAGTGAGATTAACTCGATTAATACCAAAAGTAAAAAGACAATACAAATATCAGTAAAGAACGCTAAATATGGATAGTGTGGTCCAAAAATAGGAATTGATTCAAGCAACTAAGATAAAATAATATCGAAAATTAAGATCGAAGGAGAAAAAGAGTATGAATGTGTTTCGACTATCAGAACCGATTTTAAGACGTCACCTAAGATATTCAGCTATTACTCATGGTTATTTTCCAAATACCAACTAGGTAATTTTCACCAGCGAAATTCATGTTTACAGTCAGCAGGTTCATTCTCTGATACTGGGTCTTCGTTTGACCAATCGTAATTATCTTTCAACCCACTCTTTTGCTAACCAGCTTTGTGCGTCAAGACAAGCAGTGGTCAGGCATAGGCAAATATAGTGCACGTTAGTCAAACGTTGTGAAAAATTTAACTTCATCCATTTTCTTTTCATACTTTTTCAAGCTCACACAAGTGACTCAAACAATCGATTCAGAGTATCCTGGTTAGAGAAACGCATAAAGCGAAAATCTTTGTATGATTCACCTGGTCTGTTTGTCAGATTTCGACACAAGCAGAACTATGAAAAGTGTAAAACAAAGGACGAACAGGTGTACCAAGAAAATCTGACAAATTTAACAAATAGTTCATAAGTGAACTCATAGAAGGTCACTTAAATTGGTTAAAAACGTTTCCTGTTCTGCTATATCTTAATTCAAGACCCTGTCTTTCTCAGGGATTTTTTTCCACTTTTGTACATAAATATGCATTTTCTTTATTGTGAAAAAATTCCCTTAGATGTCCTTTAATTTTATTGCTGTATATCAGTTATACCTATGTAATATTTTGTTTCATTCGGCTTTTATAATACATCGCCTCATGCTTTATCATAACAGTAAAATCAGTTATATTTTAACTTGATATATCAGTATCCTGATACAAAAGAACATAATTCACAACTTGAGCAAAAATAAAACCCTAAATCTGTTCAGTCAATCAGCCAGCTACAACATAGAACTTGGTACTTACATACATCAGTTCAAGTTACCATACCACAGTAGAACAGCGAGATCGAATTGTCAATTCGAATCCCATAGTAGTAGATGTCAGTCAGTTGCAACGTAGGACATCAGTTCAGGTTACTGTACCACATTAGCACAGAGACGCAGTTGTCTGACGAGGATAATGATAACTCTAAAAATGTGTCTGCGACAAAGTTAAACAAGAATGGAGAGAGTGGACATCCCTGACGGACACCACTTGAAGTAAAGAATTCCGATGACAGTTCGCCATAAGTTCTAACTGGACCTGTAGTGTTCGAGTAGAGAGCTTGTATTAAGTTGATGTACTTCTTTGGTACACCTTTCAATGACAGACACTGCCACAGAACCTCACGATCCACAGAGTCAAACGCCGCTTTTAGGTCCAGGAAAACAACTATTGTCGGACGTTTAAATGTGTGTCTATGTTCCAGGACCTGTCGTAGTGTGAAAATGTGGTCTATACAGCCACGTCCAAGTCTGAAACCAACCTGTTTTTCTCTAGTCTGCTCCTCACGAGTTCTAGTTAGTCGTCGGAGTATTATTGAGGCCAATATTTTATATACTAAATTAGTTAGACTGATTCCTCTGTGATTGTCACAAGAGGACTTTTGTCCCTTCTTGTAGACTGCGACAATGAGTGATTGAGACCAGTCAGATGGTATTACTCCCAGTTCCCAGGTTCTACCTAAGATCTCAGTCAATATAGCTGCTAAAGCTGGACCACCATCTTTAAAAATCTCAGGAGTCAATCTGTCAGGTCCTGCTGCTTTCCCTCGCCTTAGATTTCCCATAGCTTTTTCAACTTCACAAAGACTAGGAGGACTTAAGTCCATTTACCAATGAGGATGACTGGAGATCGTGGGTAACCGAATTGTGGCTGAAGGCCAGTTGAACTGATCCCTGCCCATCGATCCAATCTCCTGGATTGAGAATGAATGATACACCCATCCTTTTCTGAGATAGTTTTGTTAACGGATGGATTTCTCGTACTGGTTTCCCTTATAAGGCGAAACACCTGTCTACTGTTGCCTATCGCAGCTGCCTTTTCCATCGCTTTTGCTTTCGCCACCCACCACTGTTCGCAGTCGTTGCGTAGACTTTTTATCAGCCTGCGCCTAAGCTGAATTCGCTCCTCATCATGTTCAGAGCCAGGTGGGATAAGTTTTCAAGCACCCATCAGTTCGGTAGATACTACTGAGATCTACGGCTTCTTCCTAGCCTTATGATCTACCTTAATATCAGATATCGCTGCTGTTTCCACAGCTTTTTTGATATTACTCCAAACTGCCTCCGAATGGTAATCACTTACATGGTCGCCTATCTTTCTAGTTGTTCCTGAAATACATTCATAGCTCTGCTATCAGGTTTCCTTGCAGTGTCTTTCCTACTTCCAGTAAGTCGCAAACAAACGCGCTCGCACTAGGTCATGATCTGAATCTAGACATTTGCCCCAGAACGAGAGACAGTCCTCTATCGAACCTCTCCATTGGTGACCGATTGCGATGCGATCTAGTTGGGTCCGGCGTTGGGACGACTTTGGAGGTCGCCAGGTCAACAGATGCTTTTCCTTATGCCTAAAGTTAGTGTTTGCTAGAAATAGGCGGTTAACTTGGCAAAGTTGTAGCAGACGGCCGCCATTATCTGTCCTGGACCGTGACACCATAACATCCACCCAGGTGTCTTTCCTTTTCACTGAGTCTACCTACTTGAGCATTAAAGTCACCAGCCATTATTACTATATCAGAGTGCCCAACTTGTTGGAGGAGGCCCGAAAGCTTTCTGTAGAACTTATCTTCCACCTCGTCTGAACTGCAGTCAGTGGGGGCGTAGGCAGATACGACGAAGAGGTAACGACGAGTGTACCTATCCTTTCGAATCCTTACTGTTCCGTTTATTCGGACAGTGCAAAGGCGATTATCTACTGGGATGCAGTCTAAGAGTGCTAATTCTGCCCCAAGACTCAATGCTATACCCACACCAGCGAGACCCCTGGAAGCAGCATCAGGGCTTCCAGATACACGAAGAGTAAATCGAGCCGCTTCTTTATTTTGACAAGGTGAAATCAGATTAATAATTTTACTAGGATCCTGTATGCGCGTTTCTGAGACGCAGCATACATCGATGGGGCGAGATTCTGAAGTCCTAGCTAATGATGCCTGTTGCCCTATTTGACACAATGTTCGTACATTAAAAGCTCCAACATGTAGTCTAGAACGGGGTTTCAAGAGACCAGAGATGACGTTTGGTGAACTCGCATCGTCTGCGTTAGCGGTGCAGTGAGATAAGGGAATGTGAGTAGAGTTCGTTGTGGAGAGAAGAGAGGTATGTGTGGGTGTAGGAAGGATTTGATTTTGACCAATTTGGTCTCATGTGCTGTTACGGGTATAAGGGCAGTTGTCACTTCCCGGCTGCCCACACCGTGGAAGAGTGTTTCTTGAGGAACCCGAAAAGGAAAATAGATTAGCGTTGGTCTTAGAGACCTGGGAGCGTGACCGCAGAGCCCAAGGGACAACTGCTTGAGGCCGGTCACGCACGGCCTTCTTATGAAAAGATTTTTGAGTATTAGCTCCGCTCCTAAAAGCCCTTAGTGGGCACCCTTACCGCCGGAGACGGAAATCCATGAGGTAGGGTGAGGTGTGACATTTTTAGAGTCGACCTTTTCTAACCCTTCCTTGTGAGAAGGTGGCATCGCTGCAGATGTTGGTTGTCCGAGGGAAACACCTTACTGCTGTCACACCTCTCTACAGTCAGCAGAATGACTTCGCCCTCAGACCTTGAGTAGCTGCTTTTAGTCTCGTGGTTCTCCAATCGACCTGCCTGGCATGATAGAACCTACAGGCATATATATTCCAGCCAATATAGCTCAATTAACTCTGCCAGTAGAACCTTCGGGTCTACCGCCGGTCCCAAGCCCGGGCAAAGGAGGAGGGTTGGACATGGGGTTGGCGACCCCATTCCGTCAAAAACTAACTTGCCAAAAAAACGCTAACCAGAAAAACTAATTCAAACCATTTTAACTCTGCACTGGGAGTTGGAAGAAGAATTATGACGTCTCGTGATGAAAGCCGAGTTCCCTCGGAAGTCACGGGGCCGATGCCTCTTCTGACAACCAGAGCAACCATTCTTTTAGGTACATGGAACGTTCGTACATTGTGGGAGACTGGAAGACTATTTCAAGTTGCGGCAGAAATGAAAAGATACAACCTCGAGGTGCTTGGAATCAGTGAAGCACATTGGACACAAGTAGGAAAACTGAGACTAGCTTCAGGGGAACTGCTGTTATACTCTGGTCATGAAGAGGAAAATGCTTCACATACACAAGGAGTTGCACTGATGCTGTCCAAATATGCACAAAAGGCATTGATAGGATGGGAATCTCATGGGCCGAGGATCGTTAAAGCATCCTTCAAATGAAAGAAAGAGGACATGACAATGAACGTCATCCAATGTTATGCACCTACCAATGACTACAATGACGACGTTAAAGATCAATTCTACGAAAGGCTGCAGTCAATCGTCGATAAATGTTCACCAAAGGATTTGACGATTCTTATGGGAGACCTGAATGCCAAGGTTGGAATGGACAACACTGGATATGAAGACATCATGGGACGACATGGACTCGGAGAAAGGAACGAAAACGGTGAGAGATTTGCAAACCTATGTGCCTTCAACAAACTGGTCATCGGTGGCACAATATTCCCGCACAAACGCATACACAAAGCTACATGGATTTCACCGGATCACACTACTCAAAACCAGATTGATCATATCTGTATCAACAAAACGTTCAGAAGGACCATGGAGGATGTGAGAACCAAGAGAGGAGCTGATATAGCCTCAGATCACCACTTGCTGGTCGCTGAAATAAAACTGAAACTAAAGAAGCACTGGACAACGGAGCAGACAACATCACACAAGTTTAATACGGCCTTTCTTCGGGACACCGTAAAACTCAACGAATTCAAGATAGCCCTCACCAATAGGTTCCAGGCCTTTCAGGATCTACTCAATGGAGAGGACGCAACATTGGAGAACAATTGGAAAGGGATTAAGGAGGCAATCACTTCAACATGTCACGAAGTTCTGGGTCACAAGAAGTACCATCATAAGGAATGGATCTCTGTTGATACTCTTGCAAAAATTGAAGAAAGGAGGAACAAGAGGGCAGCAATCAATGTCAGCCGAACAAGAGCAGAGAAAGTTACCGCACAAGCTGCATACACAGAAGCAAACAGGGAAGTGAAGAAGAGCATCAGAGCTGACAAACGAAAATATGTGGAAGATCTAGCAATGACGGCGGAAAAGGCTGCAAGAGACGGAAACTTGAGACAATTGTACGAAACAACAAAAAAGCTGGCCGGGAACTATTGTAAACCAGACCGACCAGTGAAAAGCAAGGAGGGCAAAGTAATCAGGAACACTGAAGAACAGCGAAATAGGTGGGTAGAGCACTTTAAGGAACTCCTAAATCGACCAGCCCCACTGAACCCACCCAACGTCGAAGCAGCATCCACGGACCTCCCAATTAATATTGGCGCACATGCGATTGAGGAGATCCGCATGGCCATCAGACAAATCAAGAGCGGCAAAGAAGCAGGACCAGACAA